AGTTATCTGCTAGGTGTCACTTCTTTGGCAACTTGATTGAATCCTCTCATCATACTTCTCTTTTTGTGATGCCCTGAATAAAGGTGAAGAATGGCACTGGTGTAACCAGGCTTTTGTAGTTGCAATAAATTATCTAAATATGTCTGTAAAAATGAGTGCAGGGACGATTTGAGAGAGAAAAATTACTGTTTAACTAAAACAAGCCTTAAAGATCTGTTCAGTATTAAATGAATTTCTGGAGCTCTGACTACCTTCTTCAGTGGAACTGGCAATCCTACAGTAGGTCTGATCGGCTCCACCTTGTTGCATTAATAGGTGCTATTACTTCCATTCTTATGTTTAAAGGATCTCTTTAATTCCCAGTGTAAGAGTCCTTCTATATTAAGCAATTTGCACGTGTCACTTCATAATTTGAGAGATTAGATTGGCTTTTTGAAAGTATCCCATCTTTACTTGAATAGCCTTCAAACAAAAGCCTAACAGCTGGAATCTCTGCTTGGATCCCAGGTGGATTATTATCAGTTTCTAAGATCTTACCTTGATGTTGTTCTAATTTTCCAAGTCAGCCTTGTTTTTTGTCTATTTTTTTGTAGAAGAACTAATCACGTGAGGAAACGACTCTACTTTCTGAACGAATGTGACTAAAAAATGAATTCTAAAGAAGAATGCCTCCTCCCGCAAATGACAAAGCGGAGGCTGCTTTTTCATGACACTCTGTAGCACTACTTGGTATAGAGTGGCACTAAAAAAAATTCAGCCCGTACTTTTGAATGAAAAGACTAAGTCTGATTTTTATGCTAGGATTGACTTTTTTCCCTTTAGTATTAATGTAAACAATGACTCTGCTTTCTAGCTGTGTATTGTGAATGTGCTTTAATTCATTACCTTAACCAAACCTTTGGGCATCTCCAGAGGGCTTTTAACGTAGCCAAAATATAGTAAATTATCTGTAAATACGTATAAAAGACGTCATAGCTTCTAATAGAGACAGATGGTGGAGCAGAATCCTGCTTTAGTGATTAACTGAGGTTGGAAATGATTTCCTTACACTCCAGCTAGAGTCTTGTAGAGAATACAGGCCAGTGGCATTTATCTCTATCAAAGCAGATACCCCGCGCGTTTGCTTTTCGGCAGCCTAGAGAAGCCTGGATCTCCAGATTCTCAAAGCAACAACAAAGCAGGGCTTACCAGGTCAGAATTGATCTATTGAGTCCCATCTTACATAAACAACTGAGTTAACTGTCATGTGCTGTCGGATAAGAGATTCTTTGTGTGGCAGAGATACTGTTACTAAGGCAATAACCTCTATGCTAGATCCTTGCAACTAAAATGTTAATGCAATACGTGGCCAATACAGAAGGACAGTTATAACACTGAGGGAATGTGGAAGTGAAGCTGCTGGAAAAAAAGTGTCAAAGTACTACCAAGAACACTGTTTTGGATTTCCTTTAATTCTTTTTGGAAGAATGGGCTGGCTACCATTTAACGTAGGTGGTTTTATAACCACTTCATAGTATTGAATGTAAAACAGCAACATTCTTACTGATGTTTTTTAGCCTGAGACACAGTGAAGAATCTCAAATTGGCAATTTCTTTGTTGTTGTTGCAGAATGAGTTCTAACGTGCTGTTTAGAGTTAATAAAACCAAGTAGGATGAATTGCTGAAAAGCCTAAAAGTGAAAAGAAATAAACTGTATATGTGAGACCCCCTTATTATCTGTGTTCAGATTCTGGAGCTTCTGAATGCTGGTCTCTGTTGGGAGCTGTGAGGTAATGTAGCTCTCTGCCAAAGCGAGCCTGCCACTCCTGCATGCTTTTGAGAGCAACGACTGGTAGGAGGGGAAGCAAGACACTTTGAGTAGGATGCAGTCACTTGTTCTTGCAGCTTTGTAACGCAAAAATGCTGTGTGCTGTTACAAGCTGAAATTGGTGAGCACTATTAGTAAGTAGTCCTTCCTGTGGAAATGGGAGGAATAACAAAGAAATTAACTTAATGAACCTATTCTGCAAAATTTTAAAGTCATTCTACCATCAGTTTCCTAGTCATATATAATAATGTGGAAAGAGATGAGAAAGTCTTATACTCAAGGTGAAGGGAATCACGTTTCCCCCCTCCACACTCGTAGCTGCAGTTGAGGAAACAGAAGACCCAAAGGCACCTTCTTGTTCCTAGTCCAGTTGCCATCTGTTCTCAGGTGACCAGGTGGTATCCCATTTATATGCTTATCAGGCTTGAAGCGCGTTATGATTCTCACTTTCTATAATGCCTGCTGGAAATCCGCTGCTTTGAGGTTATACACCTCTGTTTGTATCTCAGATATATTCATGATCAATTTATACCATTGGTTTTTGTCCCTTTATTTTAAATAGCTTTTCTCATTCTGTGATATTTTCAAGTCTGTTGTGTTTAGCAATCATAATCTGCTCAGTCTTCTTTTTACAAAGATAAAAATATAAAATATTCTGTGTTCTCTGAAGGTAAGCAACTCCACGTCCGTTCAGTTTTGAAATCATCTGTGTTGAACTGGTATGACCAGAATTGCATTTGGCATATTAGATGAATTCTGACTAATGCTTTCTTGTAGTAGCGCTAATGTTAAAGATAGCTGTATTAAGATAGTGGCTGACAGTTATCGTATGTTTAGTAGTATACAGAATTCTTTACATCTCTGTTGCTTCTAGTCGATGACCCTCCGATTTGTAGAAGATATTGTCACTGAAGAAATCATTTCACTTTCTCAATATCATCCTGTTTTTATTGTTCCCCTTCTCAGTCCACTGTTTTCTTTATATTCCAGTTTCTCCCTCTAGTCTGATAATTTTTCTTAGCGTTGTCTTCACATTTTCCCATAACCTACTGCATTTTGCTTGTTTACTTATTTTTTTCTTAAGGTCAGTCTTTAAAGTCAGTTGTTGAGAAACTGTTAGTAAACTTCCTTTGTGATAGGCATTATGATACAATCTCTCCCTCAGATTTGTATGTAACTTTTTTTTTTGACTTCTCTACAGTTATTACACGAACCTCTCTGTAACATTCCTATTTGGCATTGTAAAATGGTCTACTGAGATTATTTCTACTGCTTTTCCTTTTGACAAAAAGATCCGAGAAAGATATCAGATTTTCTCTGTCCTGCTCTACCTCTTGGGTAACCTCTTGCTGAGTTTTATTCCATTTTCTTTTTCATTCTTTATTTTTATCTTTAAAATGTTTGCAAAGTCTGAATATTTTTAAGGTCGTGCTTTTGCACGCTGTCGGACATCCTGTTCCCTAATGTCCCTTTCATTCCTGCCTCAGATCTGTAATGGTACAAATAGATTGGAGACCCCATCAGTGACTTTTGAAGGAAAAAAGTCCTTGTGAAGCAGACCAAATTTAGGTACTCTCTATGAAAAAGAGTTTGAAAAAGCAATAGAATTGAGGTAGCAGTAACATCTTCATAAACGTGAAGTAATAAGCTTCTATGGTTGGCTTGAAAGCTTCAGGACCAGCACAGCATGAAATAATCTAGCTTCCGATGATATATTAATTTGGTCCTTCAGAAATAGAATGGGATGGGATGCCATACTGAGTGCAAGATGGAAAGGAGAAGGCATGCATTGTTTATGGAGAACCAGCTTCCCTCTTGCCTGCTGGATGAGGGAGGAGGATACATGTTTTAGTTTACAATGACATTTTGGCTAGAAATCTATGTTAGGGAGACATAAAGCTGGGAAGTAATTGGGAGAGTTAAAGTGGTGATTGAAAACATGTTTTTAAAATTACTATTTGGCAATCTAATTTTTAAATACCCAGCTGAACTATTTAAAAGGAACTTAATTTCTTTTGGGTTTGACATCCTAGCCTTAAAATATGGTTCCTTTTAATGAAATGTTAATATATATTTTGCAAAATTGTAATTCCCTTTCCAACCATTAAATAGAAACCCCGGTGTAAGATAAAGTATCAGTGTAGATAATCTGGTTGCTGTAGAATTATCTAGGAGAGCCCAGGAATTATGTAATTGTTGTATAGTGGTAAACACATTACAGTTCTCCCATTGGGACAGGATTTTCCGCATGCTGTGGTAGTGAAGACGTGAACAGAAGACGACTTGTGTATTGAAAAATCATATATTTTAGCTGTCAACCTTGGTTCTCGTTCTGAGGGGAAGATGGGAAGCAGATTATCAGTTAATTCTTGGCTAATAGAAGTCTGTGTGCAAGATTTAAAAACAAACAAACAAAAAAAACCACACACACAAAACCAAAAGCCAAACAACCCTCCCAAACTTAAATACTTTTTTTCCCCCAGAGGAGGATACTGTATTTTGTAAATTTTAAGTATGAATAGCTGATTTGTTTGTCTCTGAGCAGGCTTAGCAGTTAAACGGGAGACAGAAAGAACTGTTCTTAAGCCTCTGTATTTTACAGAAAAGTGGGTGGTATCCAATTTTACCATGGTATTGGCTGATTCCCAGCAAATCCTTACATTGACATTGGTACATGTAAGATGCTTCAACAAATGTTTCCTGAATTATGAATTCTACAGTTTTTTAAGTCAGTGACCTGTCTCTGTCTGTCTCAAGCTCTGATTTGCTGCGGCAGGGTCTCTAGCATTCGTTCTTGTAAGCTTGTTGATTTTTGTTGATATAAAAATTCTCATTACTTAAAAAAAACCAGAAAACTTTATTTTCCAGGAACATTTTTCATTTAAAGCAATTGAGCTATTTTGCAGAATTTTCCCTCCTAAACTTTTTTCTTGCCTCTTGATCTCATCTGAGAGTTGAACATGTTCAGCTATTTGTATGAACTTTATCTCTGAGAGTTCAGAGAGTGGAGTATGGCCAGGGGGCCCTTAGCACCCCAGGTCGCCTCTCGTTGTATTTGGCATTGCTGGCTTTTGAGAATGGCTGCGTGGAAGTGGGGCAGTCTGGTAAGAGAAGTAATCAAACCTGTTACGTGTTTTTTGTTGTTGTTGTTGTTACTTAGTGTTTTATATTTGCTGTGTTTGTCTCCAACAGCTACATCCCCTCGAGTTTCCTCGGAGCTAGAGCAGGCACGGCCTCAGACAAGCGGAGAAGAAGAGCTCCAACTGCAGCTTGCATTGGCAATGAGCAGGGAAGTTGCAGAGCAGGTCAGTTCCTATGGCTAAAGCGTCTGTGCATTGATAGTTGAGACTACAATCCTCTTTTTTCAGCTGCAGCTTGGATTAGCTGCAGGTGGAATAGAGGGAGAGAATGGCCCTTTTGGAAGATGTTTGCTCTTTAATTTTATTTTTATTTTTTAATTGTTTAAATTAACTGTGGCCTCAGTGCTGTTGAGACTAGTGGGAGATGACAGTCATCTTGCAAGAAGAATTTGTGGCGTGGGAGGATGTTAATCATCACGTTATTGAAGCCGTTTTCAGTTACGAAGAAGTGAAAACGTGACTAGTCCTGAAAGCCTTTATAATATTGGGGCCAGCATTAAAAAAAGTCAGTGAATTTTAATTACAAGGGAATTTTGAATGATCTGTTCATTTGATTAGATTGTCTGGAAAAGAAGGGTGATCTGACATAAACTGCTAGAATATTTATAAAGAGCCTATTTTTAAACAGTTAAGTTCGATCACATTGGTTATATTAATATGTTAATTCTTGGGAGGTTCGTTCCGAATTTGGAGTAAAAGCTGTAATTCTGGGTAAAGTCTACTGCATATTAATATGTACAAAACATTGTTGAACCTCAGCTATTGGTGAAAATTCAAGCCAGCCGTACTGAACGCCTCTAATATTTTAGGGGCTTTCTGTGAAAAATTTAGCTTACAGCTGTATGTTAAGCATCGGTATCTCTGTGCTTGGAGAGGGGAACTATAACCCAGTAAACTTTCTCATTGTTTAGCAATGAAGCTTAAAAAGAAAAAAACTCCCAACCACATAGCATGTATCAGTTGAAACAACTTTAAAAATTGCAAGGGAAATGCCGGTTAGGGAATTTGTCAGCTTCTGAAAGGTGTGGTGCAAGCAAAAAAACTTGAAATAGTTGGATCTACCACAAGCGTGGTAGTTTAGAGATGTTTAAAAACTTATAAAATATGCACAGAGTTGGCTAGATCATTCACTTAACACACCTGTTATATCTATAAATAATGCTAGATGTGGAGGGAGGCTGTCAAAAGTCAGGAGAACTAAAATTTAAATTGCTACGCCCTTCAGTGGTGGTTTGAATGATCAAAAGCGCTATAGTAATTTAAAGATGGGATATTTTCTTTATCTTTACAATTCCATGGTGTTTATAGCATTGTAACTTAATTTTTGGAAAGAATGTTTCGTTTATAGCTTTTCCATTGGGAGTAAAACAACATGAGGGTAAACGTCAGTCAGCAGAATTGATGTTGGCTTAATGATCACGCTGTTATATTGGTGTTACGGGGTCAGGTTGTTTCTAACCTCTGTTTGAGTGAGGTGAGATTCACAAGAAAATTTTTCTCCGTTTGTGTTATGTATAAATTACAGCAAATAGGCCTGGCAATCCCACTGCACTTGCCTGTGGTGCACATCGCTCCTAGGGTGGCAGGGAGTGCTGCACAGGCCTTCCCTGGCAGTGTCCTGCCAACGGGGCTAGCCACCTGGAGCAGCACAGTCTAGGCTAATGGTCTATATCAACAGTGTTGATTTCCTTTGCAGGAGGAGCGCCTCAGACGCGGAGATGATCTGAGATTACAGATGGCTCTGGAGGAGAGTCGCAGAGACACAATTAAAATTCCCAAAAAGAAGGAGGTAGTGCCTTCAACTAAGAAATTCCCGGTTATGCTGCCAAAAGCTGAAATACAGTAACACAAAATAGCTTAATACTGAGCTCTTTTATGCTTTTGGGATTGCTTTGTTGTATAGCTTAAAGCTTCTTCCATGTGGGTTAAATTTCAAACTACTAGTCGATGCAGGTGTGTAAAAGGAAAAAAAAAAAAAAAAAAAAGTTGCTTCTTCACTCTCATGGGTTTGTACTTCAGATTAGTAATACTCTTGATTAAAGCTCAGACTGTTCCTGCCCTCAGCATACAACTTTGTTGGACCTAATGGATGCCCTACCCTCATCGGCACCAGCGCCACAGAAAACGGAGCCTTGGGGACCTCCTGCTGTTGCAAACCAAACTGATCCCTGGGGAGGATCTGCAGTTGCAGCTACTGCCTCTGACCCATGGCAATCATTTGGTAAGAGCAAACTCTGCCAGAAGGAATGCTGTCTTAAAAGTTTTTTGCTTTTTAATATTGAGCTTTTTCAAGTTCTTCAGTAACAGTGCAAAACGTCCCACTTTGTAAAGTCAGTATATTGGTCCATTTTGGTTGCTTTCCATAGTTTAGAAGTAACATTCCCTTAACTCATTTTCAAGCAGAAATGAGTGGAAGTTACGTTCCTTTTCTGTTTTGAGCAGTTGATTTGTGTGCGCGTGTGAATGATGAATTTTAAGAAGGAGGAGAAAATAGAACCTTTGGCTTCTGTTTGTGCAGCAGAAACAACTTGTCTCATCCTGGGTGGATGCTTGTGGTTTGACTGCTGGTTCGGTCCAGTGTCATGGGACTGAGACACTTGTCAACGCTTAATATAGTATTCAGTCAGGATGCTATAATTTAGAAAGGCTGTAGTTCTGAATTACAATATCTTTAATACTACTCCTACTGAAATAGGATGTGTATACAGTCAAAACCAGATGGGTTGAATTGTTTAAGTGACGATTTCTACCATGTTAAAAATTCTCACTGTTTCATGAACTTTTGATGCTACATGCATGGAATCTGATTTTGAAGTGAAAGATCCAACGCTTCACATGTTGAAGAGCCATAAGTCCAGCTGGTTCTGTGCTTGCTTTTGTATGTGTTTTGCTGCCTATGCAGTGTGCTGTTTTCTAGGTTAGCCAAAGTCTGTCCAAGGAGTTGCTCCTTTGCGTAAGAAAGCTGATGGTTCCTCACAGTAGGTGTTCAACATACTGTGTCTTTGGGAACGGAGCTGGATCTGTTCTTTGTTGGAGTTGGGCTTCTGTGTGGGGGGGAGGTTCCTATCCAGTCCTGAACACTAACAGCTTAGTTCTGCCAGTTTTGCTTTAGGCTGGTGTTTCTAGCACCTCAGCTATATAGTGCTTCAAAGTCATTTGCGTTAGCAGTAAGTATTCTACCCTCCAGATTCCTGATAAAAATTTTGGAGTTTAATACTGAAGCTCACTGTTTTTTTTTCCTCTCTCATGATGGCATTAAATGCACTTGCTTAGCTGCTGGGCCAACCACAGTTCATTGTTTAAGTGTAATCTGTGTCTTTTCTGGTGATAAGCTGTCAAACAGTAGGTTGGAAAAAGTCAGCGTTTCAGGGCTTTAAGACTGTTCAGTGTAATTTTCCATGTTTAAAAACAAAAAAAAAAACCCACCTCCTTCAAATCTTGTGCTTGATATATCATCCATTGACTATTTTTCCTTGAATTGGTTGCAGCTGTAGCATTTCCTCTCAGTGGTTCCCAACTTTATTAATGCCATTTATAACAACCCCTTATTCCAGCTGGCCCGTTACTTGGCTGCCAAGGATAGTCTTGAAGATGTGAGATTTATGAATTTGACTGCTAATAAAACAGTGAGTCACAGAATCATGGTTCTTAAATCCTGTATGTGCTTTGGCATTTCAGCAGAGATACTGGAAGCAAAGGGAAGGTATCTTCCCAAATGCTCTAATTTTGTGAGCTGTGAGAAAAGACTTTTTTTTGAAAGCTTCCATTTATGAGAAGCTCTGTCATTAGCATTTCTTGCGTGGCATTGATTGTAACTCAGCACTAAGGGCAGATAAAAGAAATCTGAGTGCTGGACTGGGAGTAGTTGGATTTATTTGGAGGATTTCAGCATTCCCTGTTCTGAAGCTGCAGCAAGGCTATGCCACCTATTGATAAAAGTGAAAGACCAACATTGCAAACTGGAATTTGTGCCAACATGTGTAGCATTGAATTGGTTTTCAAAAAGAATAATAAGATGCCAATGGGTTTTGTGTGCATTTTAAAAAAACAGAACAGCGCTTAGTTGTAACCTGAAAGAGGCAAAGTGATTAAAGGTGATAGGTGCTTATTGCATGGGTATTTCTGTCCTACTCCTGGATGATACAGTTCTTTTCATTTAGTAATTAAACCATGGCTGTTCTAGAAGTTTCACTGGGGAAAAGAAACGTGTGCATGTACTATCTGATTTGAAGGTAACCGATCATCTTATAGTTGAACAAGATGTTTGTTTAAAGTATTAAGTTCCCATCCCTGTACTTTCATGGCTGAGGGGGTGAAAAGAGGGGTGGGAACGAATGAGACAAACAAACTGGGAGCAATACCTTCCAGCGCGGACCTGGCCCTCTACAAATAGGAAATGTGATTTACTTTGATGGTCCCAGGGTTTGATGAGCCCAAATAACTTTATATAATGGAAGAAGGAAAAAGAGGCCACCTAAAGTGAATAGCAGTAAGTAATACCTTGGGGAAGAGGAAGAAATGGGCAGCAAATTATACATAGTGAGGCAAGTTTGTGGGTTTTTTGTTTTTGTTTTTTCCTTCCCTTCCCTCTCCTCTCCCACCCCAGTTTGACATTTGGCAGAATGAAACCCTAACTTTGTGCAGGACCTGTAAACACTGTTGACAGACAAGTAATTTGGTGATCTGGATTTGTAGGAGTAAAGAGTTGTCAGCATCTTCCAATAAAAGCGTGAATCCTGAACATGCAATTACTGTAGTTACAAAATGTGGGAAGGGGTATCAGCAGACAACTTAGATTTGTGTCAGGAAGAGTGCTTACAAATGAGGCTAAAAACCCAAAACTATCTCGGGGAGAGCTAATTGTATTGTGGTGTGTTTTGTGTTGTTGTTGTTGTTGTTGTTTTTTTTTTTAAACAAAGTAACAGTATAGTAGAAAGAGGCTTAAAATTATTATCTGTGAATCTCTCAGATTTTTTTTCCTTGTCCAAGTCGTACATTGTGTGTTTATTTTACCTAAATATTTTATGGAATTCTTCTTTCCCTTCAGTTTATTGTAAATACACCCTGTGATTTTAAGTCAGATATTCTCTGTGGTGGCAATGTTTATAGCGAAAGCAAGTTTTATTTTCTCGTTGTTGGAACTGCAGATTTTAATTTAATTTCAAATGAAAGCTTAACTTTATTCAGCTATCTTCCACAGAATGTAGCTGTGTGTGTTGTCCTGCATGTATCATGTAGGAATACTGATAAAAACTCAGTGTCTAATGTTGAACTGATTTACATCTTTGTTTTTTCCTTGACAATAGCAGCCCGTAAAAGAAATTAATCCCCCAGGACAGCTTTTTGAAGGGAAGCTACAAGTTACTTTTGTTCCTGCTGGCTCTTTTTGCAGGTGCCAAACCAGCTGCTTCTGTTGATCCTTGGGCAGCACCAGCAGGATCCACAACTCAGTCCCTGTCCAAAAATGTTGACCCTTGGGCTCCTGCTCAGTCATCATCTACTGCAGCAAAACCTTCTGTGGATCCTTGGGGACCAGCACCTGCAAACAAACCTCTCTCTACTTCCGGTGAGAGACTACCTCATTCCACATCCATGTTTTCTGAGTAATGCAGACCTGAATGATTTTTATGTGGATTGGTTAGCAGCAGCTCTGTGTTGATCAGTTTGCAATGCTGGACTATAAAATACACGAGTTGTAATAGCTAACAGCAAAAAGAACTTCAGATACCGTTATTCTGAGTCAGAGCTCTGAATTCACACTGCTGCTTTCTTCATGCTATCTCCCTTCTGCATTCTGTTATTTTTATGTAGGGATGCGTGCTGTGCATTTGTGACTGTGCTGCTGCTGTCAGGCTTTTAAATGGATTTTATCTTTAATTAGACAAGAACTTAATTTCCAGAAATTAATGTTACTATAACTTTACCTTTCATCATGATGAATACTGTGCAGATGGATGTCTCTGCAGAGGTAGATTGACAGATTGAGCAGCTCCATGCTTTGAGGAGATTTTTAGAGGTACAAATGAAGGTTTTTCTACTTCAGATTGAAGGTGTCAAATCTTCCCCTAAAACTTTGTGTGGCAAGATGCTGAAGGTGGTGATGTAACTCTCTGTTCGTGCTCTGTAACTAATGCAACTTTCATGAACCTTACTAATACCTCATGTTTTCGTGTTGGTGCCGTGGCTATTCTAAATGCATTTTCTGTTGGTCATTCATCTCAGTACATAATAAACAAAGGACTTGCAAGTTGAATACTGCAAAAAGTGGTCTAATCCATTTTTCTCTGGGCAAAGGGCAATAACTGGATCGTTATTGCAACGATTCCTAAACTGTGGTGGTCTTTGTTCTTGGTAAGAAGTATTGTTACTATGCAGAATCTTTACTTACATTCTTTTGGGTCTTTGTCTTTTTTTGTGCACTCTTTATGGAGTTAGGTCTGCGTCTTCATTTGCTTGAAAAGTGTTGACAGTTAAAGCTAAATTAAGAAAAACATTTCAACAAATACAGTAAAACAAACTTGAAAGCTTTTCAGTAGTGTGATTATTCTTCATTTAGATGTGGCTTTTCTTCCTCCCTTTTGAGGTAAGGGTGTGTCCATATTATGCAAATGTTGTGTTTTCATTTGTTGCAAAGTATGGCAAAGTTCTGCTGCCTTAGCTCAACTGGGCCTTACCAACTCTACCTGGAGTAGATTACATTCCCGCAATTCCATTGCGTTTCTGCTACTTCTAACTTAGGGAGCGTAAGTCAATTCATTACTCAAGTTCTAGCCGCGTTGCGTTTGTCTTTGCAAGTGTATTCAGAAGTGATTTTTTTGCTTGAAGGCTGATTAGCACACCTGTTATAGTCTGGGCTGTAAAATTGTTGCTACTCTCTTCTTCCAAAGCAATATATGCCTGCCTGTGCCTCCCTGTAGTGCAGGCGCTTAAAAACCCAGCCTTCTAAGGTGTGCCTTACATTGTGGTTTAAAAGCACATCACTCTGAATTAGTCAGCTGATGCTGTAAGAAAGGACCGTTTTTTGACATTGTCCTTCTCCTTGGTCCTGGGTAAAAGTAGAAGCGCTCAAGCTGCTCTGCACAGGCGAACCTGAGACCTGACAGTGGCTTCTCAGTAACGTGAACGGGTTAGAAATCCCTTTCAGTAGGGTCGGGTGTGTAATGCAACTGAAGATCTATTAACAACAGAGCTCTCTTGTTGTTTTGAACAGGAAGTACATCTTTTGACCTCTTCAGTAATTTGAATGGTACAGTTAAGGATGATTTTTCTGAATTTGACACACTTCGAACTTCCAAAAAGCCAGGTATGAATCAAATTCTTAGCAAATGGGTAGTTTGGCTGATAGTCTCAGCAACAGACGTATCTATTCTTAAATTTCCTTTTAAAAAAAAAAAAAAAGCCTTTCACAAAGGAAAAGATCAAAGCTGGTGATAATGCAGCAGTTAAAGGTTGTTGTTAACATTTTGGCCTGTGCATGAACTCATGGGGAACTGGCCTCTTTTGCATTGTAAGCCGTAGAATTTCACTCTCTAACCTCTGTGCTGTGTTGACCCAGAAATTTGCCTGACTTCTAAATTAATTTCCTCTAGCATGTGTGTGGAGTATGGCTCATGCCCAGACAGTGCAGAGCAGAGCAATGTTGGCTACATTTCTCAAATGCATAAATTCTGATGTGATAACAATAGTAGACAAATTAGAAAATTTACTTATATGAAAGTTTTAATTTCTTTTGAATTTGGTCATTACTCGCATTTTTAAGATCTGACAGTTTTTATTTTAGTAAGTGCTTTGATACTATTTACTTTAAGTGAGGTTCTCCCTGGAAGATTGGTGGTTAACTCAAAGCTGGGCCAGGTCTCTTTGACGCAAAAGAGAGAACCCTGTTGGAATCTAACTCGGAAAGGTATAACAATGGTCTAGTGCGAGGGCAGAAGCCCAAGGCTTTTGAATATCTTTTCCACAGAATCTCTTAGTGTAATCTATCGCAGCGTAGTTGAAAGAATATCAAGGCAAGTCAGGGAGAGCCTTCTATAAAGCACTGCAACTGTAATTCTAGCTTCTTTGCGTTCTTCTAAAAAAACATTTATCCACTTGCATGCTAAGGGTGTGACATGTACTGAAACATTTAAATGTAACTTATACAAACATTGGATTTCAAAATATTTCTTTTGTCGGGGACTTCAGGGTTTTCTTTGCTTGATTATGTAGATTGATGAGAAGTTTTGTTTTTTCTTCTCGTGTTGTTACAGCTGAATCAGGTTCCACTCTGCCATCCCAGCATAGCGGTACCACAAGTCCTGATCTCTTTGATTCCCAGCACTCAAGCATAACATCAGGCAAACAGAGTGCAGCTCGGAAAACCCCCGAGTCTTTTCTGGGCCCCAATGCTGCTTTGGTGAACCTGGATTCCCTGGTATCTAAGCCGCCACAACCTGTTGCTTCGCTGAATCCGTTCTTGGCGCCAGGTCTGTTCCTGTACATTCCTTTCAGTTTTCTGTTTATGCTTTCTCTTCCTATAGGAAAACTTTGCATAACTCAGGCTCAGGAGATTTAACATAAGTCACTTCTGGCTTGTTTTTCTTGATTACTTCAGCCAGCAGATCATGGGTGAGGCAGCATGGTTTCTAGGTGTACTGCTGGATCCTGAAAGCCCGGAGTTCTACTCTTGTGTGTTTGCTGCTGATCTGCTGGGTTAACTTTGTTCAAGCTATTTGCCTTCCGCTTACCTTTTGTACCTGCTCTGTCAAAATGATCCGGGTTAGAAAAGAGCTTTTGATTATTAAAAATGGCTGAGCTAAAGCTGACTGATTGTCGGAACAGGTAAGATGTGAGCGTGTGCCAGCAGAGACTCTCTAACCCTTGGGAGGGTAATAGGTAGTAGGTATTTGTGACAACCAGGTAGAGAATAGCTCTTTTAATTGTGCTCCTCCAGGCAAATTTGCATCTCTGACTGCAGCCTGAGGTTCCAGATGGCAAATTCTGGTGCATGTTTTAATAGGTTGTTGGTTAGGCTATCCTTAGGCTAGTGAGATAACGCAGTTTTGATCAAAACACGCTCTTAGTATATTTGGAAACAAATTGGTTGTCTTAATTCTTCTGTAAATTGGCTGCTGCGGTAAATGAGTCTTCACTTACATCAGAGTTGGATGATGGCACTAAACATTTGGAAGGAGTATGTATTTTAAAGACTCTTCAAATGGAAATTAGGAAGTTTCTGTGTGACACTAATCTTGTGAAATTTTTTAAACTTATATTTTAGTATTTATTTTCTTTACTTTCCAGTGGAAAAAAAGATAATTTGTTAAACTCTTTAGGTAGAAAAAACCCCAGTAATTCTGAACAGCATTGGCAGTGTTTAGCAACAGGAAGTCTGTGAATCTGCCATTACTGCTTACTACTGAAAGTTTAGAAGGGGTCATTGGGCCATCCAAATAACTATATACATATACGGTAAAAGGAATTTGTAGTGTTGGCAGCAATCCAAAAAACTCAAATGCTGGGAAAGTTGTTCTCTGCTTTTTCTAGCACCACTGTATTTCGGAAACAACTTGTTTACTTTATGAATTCTTGTCAAAACTCAGTGCCAAAAACATGTACAGCTTCTAAGTGGAATTGACTGGCTGAAGTCTTGAGGCAAATGCACAGATATACTGTAGCCAGATTAAGGTTAGCCTGCTATTTGTACTCTTCTGTAATGCTGATTTTAAGTAACACTAAAAAATTACTGACCTGGATGCCATGGTTAGATATGTTCCAGGTTATCAAATTTGAAACCTGTTTCTCCACTGACTGTAAGCGGAGACTGTTGGTCAGCAGGGGGTTATTTTGCGGTGTTGAGGAATTCAGTATTTGTATTTGTGCACCAGTGCAGCCCCAGTGAGCTGAACGGCATCCGCACGAGCTTCTCCAGCGGATGTTTTGGGGTTGGGAGGATGTGCAGAACATGCTTTCTTTGGCTCTGAAGAGAATCTCCAAAGCCCCAGTGTTTATGGAGATGCGATCTTCTTGCCTCTTTCCCCTTCTTTTCTCAAAATTAGGTGCAGCTACAGCACCAACTCCAATCAACCCCTTCCAAGTGAATCAGCCTCAGCCACTCACTCTAAATCAGATGAGAGCAAGTCCTGTCATGGGAACCAGTCCTTCTTTCAGTGCTGTGCCACCAATAAGCATGGAGCCAATACCTCTGTCTTCCATGGCCCCAGTGCCTGTGGGAATGGCGCCGATACCAGCTATGGGCACTGTGGCGTCTATAACAAGAATGGGCCAGGGGCTGAACAGGAATCCCGCCGTCAGCGTCCCAGTCTACAAATACGACTAACCCTTTCCTCCTATAAAGACCCAATCAAAAGAACTTTCTTTTCATAGTGTTTTCAGGCTGAAGTCTTTACAGCTCAATGAACGTGGCCTGTTTGGACTGAACGGTGTATAAGAGACTTGGAAGTAGATTTGCAGTTTACAGTTATGATCTTTGAAGAGTTGTCTCTACTTACCAGTTAATCTAAATCTAGTCTTTGCTACAGATGGTACCTTACTTTGGCTTGTTGAGCATTATGTGAAATGTTCAGACTTTTCACCAAAGTTAGATTCTGCCCATTTTGTTACTCTGTTTATCATTTCAATACACTTTCTAGGGAGAACCTGCCATTTTAAACTTCGTTGGCTATTTTGTAGATGTCAGATGATGTGCTGGATCCTGAAATTACTATTTACCTGCATCTGTCACTTCCTATGCCCATACGATAGACCTGAGATTCAGAGTGCTAGTGAATGTTTTGCACATAACTATACACAGTTCTAGACTGTTGGTTCACCCATAGTCCTTACTCTTAGAAGAGAACGATTTTGAGGGCCCAGGTGGCTGGTTTTTATGCATTAAACATTGCAACGCAAAATCGCACTGCTTTCGTATCAAAGGTTTGACCGAGAAAGCAAGCTTGTCTCAAAAGGAAAAACAGACAAAAAACCCAAGAACATTCTCAAGTTGTCAAGTATAATGTGTGCTGTTGTATGCAGTGTTGAATTTGTACACTACTCTCTAAGGACTCCTGAGGAACTCTCTGTGAGTGGCATGCTGCACTCGTGCTGAGTGAGTGTCCTGCTCTGTGCTTGTCCAGTACCAGCTTCGTTTGGAAGTTATCATGTGTATTTTGTTTTTATTTGACTTACAACGTGAGTTGAAAGGAAAAAAAGAAATACAGTGGGACAACTTTGAATTCAGTTTCACCGGGGCAAGCTTTAAAACTAATTCAGGCTTAACCTTGCTATATGCAGTTACTCTTGTATACTTTTGCACATATTTTGTTTAGTACAGTTTCATATTTGAGTTTGCAGAGTTACCTAATAGTCCTTTTTGTGCTAATTTTTATAATGTGGTTCTTATTTAACTGTCTGGTTTTGATAGATTTATCAAGTCTGGCTGAAAAAATTAAGATATTGGCAAATGTCATTTTTATGGTTTTAATGCCCTCTTATTTATGGTTTTAGCTCTTTGTTTCTGTAAAGAGAGTTTAAAAGGGAAGATTAACACTAAAATATTCTACTTTTAAATGAAGTATTCATAATGAAAATCAAAGCAAATTCTCTCAACTAATTATTTTTAGATGAATTGAATTTGAACATGACGTGATTTAAGACTACATTAAAAAGAAGAAACACTAAAGTCGCCTTTCCCTTAATTTGTTCCGGTTTTCTGATTACCAAAATGGACAGACACTTTGCCTTTATGGAGACCGTAAGAAAGGCTAGCTTTTCTTGTAATACTTCTTGAAATGCTAAAAATTCTAATGTACAAACACAACTCATTAATTTCATTGACTAATTTTTCTTAATGAAAGGTGCACTCCTTATTAGTAAGTGGTTCCATTTACAATTATTAATTGTAAGCTGAACTATACATTTTAACTTGCATGTCTGGACTCATCAGCACTAAACCACGCTCAGGTTTCAGTCAGTGTTACTGGAATAAACCTGGCCTTCTCTAAGACGGCAGCGTTTTTTAAGCTCTGCTTTCATGAGCAACACAAATGTATGCAGAGCATGTAGAAAGGGATGTCCCAGTGCTTGTAACTGCCTTGAGGGTATCTCTGTGAATGAACGTGGTTTTTGTAGAAAGGGGGGGGGGGGGGGGGGAAAGGCGGAAAGAAATTGCCAGAGCTCTGTGTCCTGGTGTAATGATGCTGCGTGGGACTGCACCAGCCTAGGGTAGTGTGCCATAGGAAGGAAGGGCTGGCTAGCATGAAGGGGACTGGATTATGTCCTTTGGTGGGTGGGAGAGGCTGAAAGACTATCAAATCTAGGGTACAATCACAGATTTTAGCTGTGTAGGTCAGTGTAGCTCTATTAGTGTATGGAATGCTAAATGTGTGGATGTTTCTATGCAGATTGTTCTATCCTCTCGATACTGTTGAATTGACAAGTAGGATTCAGAATATTCATCTGCTCTTGTTTTATATAGGAGGGAAGAGAATTACTGTCCACACCCAGTATGTCTTTAAAAAAACAAAAACAAAAACCATTCATGTTGCCTTTCAGAATAAGAAAAAATACTTAACTTTTTGTTGTTGTTGAAGCTATTGAAAAGTGTAGACCAGGAAGGGTGTGATTCTTGCAGATGGGAAAAAAAGTGCTTTCCAATTGATCTGTGGCAAGACTTATCCTTCGTTATTTTTCCAATTTAATTTTATCCACAGTGGAATTGAGGTGGTTTGATGTTTTTCCCTTAGTCGGTCACCTGAGTGCATTTGCAATGATTAGATGGGGCATTATCTATTCAGCCAAAAAGTTCCGATCACATCTTCTCGCGAAACACTAGGTAACTGTTTTTGGAGGCAAGATGGGGCTGATAGTAAGTGTTTTGAAATTTATAAAGTCGTTTACAGTTCAGAATAATGAGCTGTCATCATGACTTGATAAAGATGTATTGTTGGTCTGGTAGGGAGCCCTAGCTTAATGAAACTGCTGAATGGCAAATTGTTGCTTTTACCAAGCCACTTCTCTAAGAGCTGTATTACTTTTACATTATATATATATGTGTGTATATATATATCGCACAGTAAACCATGACAAGACACGGAACAGTGATTAGCCCAGATCATGGTGCTGTAAGGCATTAGGCCAAGGACTCAGACCATGCTGAGATTCCCAACCTGACCTGGGTATTGCAGGAGGAAATGGGTTCAAGAGCATATAAGCAGCTGGTTTGGTAAATCTGCTTGGTTACTAGCTTGTAGACATGCCTGTATCTCTCAAGTGCCATGCGGACTTGTGGCGCTGTAACAGTAACACTGAAAGGTGGTTTCTGTCCTAGCCAGTTGAGGCTTCAGTTGTGTCCAGAAAGGTAAATCTGCTTCATGGTAATTTAACTGCTATCCAGAACAATTCCTTCTCCCTCCCCGCCCTCCCACTTCTTTTTGCATGGAGGACGTATGTGTATCTGATCACATCTGCTCTGGCGTATTTCTCCACATGCATTTGCCTCTTCCTCTTCTTTTCCCACTTTGAAATATTAAAAGTGCTTTTGATTTTAAAATGTTAGCATCCTAAAATAGCCTTACTGGTCAAATTGACCAAAGAATAAAGTGTTAATTATTTTATAGAAATAAAAATATCTTGGCATAATTTTAAACCCCAAAATAAGCTCAGTTATTTATTCAGTTTTATACGATATAGAAACTAAACTACGTTGAGGGGACAGGGAAGGAAAACCATGGTGGGGTTGTGGTGATTACAGTCTTCTTGAAGTCCCATAGCTAAGACAACTGTTGTTATCCATCTTCCCTTTTGCTGTTACAGTTTCTAATGTGTACTGTATGTATTAATATTGCACAGATTGTGGAGAAATATATGGTTTATTTTTCACAGCAGAATCTCACAAGACTCGCTTCCTTTACAAGTGTTACAATTTAAATATTTACCAAACTGTTTTCATAATACTGGGAGCCGGCTGCTTTTTATGAATTTGTGCTGACTATTGACATTATTTACTGTATAAATAATTTATCATTTGTACTATTGTATCATAATGTCTGTATCTGTGTCATTTTTCCCTAGCGATGTCACAAATGTGATATTTAATAATGCCATCAGAACAGTGGAAAGACAAGGGGTTTGTAGGTGACTGGTCAGAATTAAAATTGTATTGCTTATATTCCAGATGTGTTGCTTTTTCTAGACTCTGCGTAGTGTTTGTCACATTTAAGAACTGTTGCTGTCGTGCTTGATTTAGTTTTCAAGAAAGTTGATGGATTGGATGAGATTATTAAGGTTTGTGCTAAAAGTCCTAGGTTCTAGGATAAATCTAATCGTTATTGAGAGTAACGCTTCTTGTACATTGTCAATGTGATTTCTTCAAAGCACTCATCACTTTCCTGGTGCAGGCCTGCTCTTACTATGAGAAAGGAGGGTTTCTTACAAATCACTTAAATAGAATCAGTTGAGACCTTATTAACTCAATAAAAATGAAGACTTGTTGTGTTGCAGGTGACTGAATTGCTTCTTTAAACCACATTATCTTTTAAACAGCATTTTTGGAAGGATGATCAACTGCTTTCTCAGTGGAGGCGTCCATATTTATGTAACTTTAAAGACAGTCATTCATGGAGTAGGGTTCGGGGGAGCTGTGACAAAACTGACTTTGGGAATCGTTTCAGTTTTTCCAGTTTTTGAGTCTTGCCCTTTCTGCAGTCTTGGCTCTGTCTCGTTGTTCAAGTGGCCTAGCAGGTCGGTTGACAGTGAGCCTGCCTCCAGCTGGAGGTGACTTCAGTTTCTAATTGTGGATGTTTTAAATTGGCAGGTGCTTCGTTATCAGGCTGTTTGAAGAGCTACCTCTCAGGAACCCCTCCAGGTTTCCTCTAGCTACAGTTTGCTGCTAATCAGACTGATCAGTAATCAAATACTTCATTTGCTAATGCTGGAACTGCAGTGGTGCTGGAGAACTGATTATTGTAAAGGCAGACATGGGGAAAAGTCCTGTCTAACGTTTTGCTTTCAGATTTGTGGGACAACGCTTGACGTGGGCGTTCTGTAAACCCGCTGCTTCAGTAACACTCCAATTTCCGTAGAAAATGAGGTTGCCTCTGGTTATCTCTTTGATTCATTTTACTTCTGTGTTTGGGCCTGAAAGGAAAAGAAAAACATCTGTTACCAAGGATGACGAGCCAAATATAATATTTCTGGTACCTCTCATTTTTACAAAATAATATTTCGTTACTTGCTTTCTGCTCCTGTGCAGGATGTGTCTTCTGTGCGCTCTTATTTATTGTTACTCTGGCCGTTTTCTCTTTTTCCGTGTGATCAGTACTTTACTGTTCTGCTTCACCTCTTGCAACTGCACATGTTAAAGTAAAGCTGCTTGCCACTGGGAAGATCTAGGAAGAGCTTGAATTGGAAACTTTTGTGATAACTTCATCACAGAATCACAGAATGGTTGAGGTTGGAAGGGACTTCTGGAGATCATCTAGTCCAACCTAGGGTCCTCTAGAGCATTTTTCCCAGACGGGTTTTGAATCTCTCCAGGGAAGGAGACTCCACTGCCTCTCTGGGCAACCTGTTCCAGTGCTCTGTCACCCTCCCAGGAAAGGTTTTCCTCATGTTCAGAAGGAACTTCCTGTGGTTCCGTTTCTGCCCGTTGCCTCTTGTCCTGTTGCTGGACATCAGCGAAAATAGTCAGGCCCCATCCTCTTGACACCCTCCCTTCAGATATTTGTATACATTGATGAGATCCCCTCTCAGTCTTCTCTTCTCCAGGCTCAACAGGCCCAGCTCTTGCAGTCTTTCTTCAGGGGAGAGATGCTCCAGTCCCCTGATCATCTTCGTAGCCCTCCGCTGGACTCGCTCCAGGAGCTCCGTCTCTCTCTTGTACTGGGAAGCCCAGAACTGGACACAGTACTCCAGAGGTGGCCTCCCCAGGGCTGAGTAGAGGGGGAGGATCACCTCCCTCGACCTGCTGGCAACAATCTTCCTAATGCACCCCAGGATCCCATTGGCCCTCCTGGCCACAAGGGCACATTGCTGGCTCATGGTTAACTTCTTGTCCCCCAGGATGCCCAGGTCCTTCTCTGCAGAGCTGCTTTCCAGCAGGTCAACCCCCAGCCTGTCCTGGTGCTTGGGGTTCTTCCTCCCTAGGTGCAGGACCCTGCACTTGCCTTCATGAGGTTCCTCTCTGCCCAGCTCTCCAGCCTGTCCAGGTCCCTCTCAATGGCAGCACAGCCTTCTGGTGTGTCAGCCCTTCCCCCCAGTTTAGTATCAGCAGCAAACTTGCTGAGAGTGCACTCTGTGCCTTCCTCCAGGTCACTGATGAATAAATTGAGCGAGACTGGACCCAGTACTGACCCCTGGAGGACACTGCTAGCTACAGGCCTCCAGCTAGACTCTGCGGCTGATCACAACCCTCTGAGGTCTGCTGTTCAGTCCACCGCACCGTGCGCTCCTCTAACCCGCAATTTCTGAGCTTACCTATAAGAACATGATGGGAGTTTGTAATACTCTTTAAAATGGCCTGAATACTGCAGACCTCTGCAAGCCAAAGGGGTTGTTGGAGGGAGTCTAAACTGATAAAGCAGGTTGTGAGGTAGGGTTATGGCTGTTGCTGAGCCTTCCTCTGACCTTGGGCAAATTGCTTTCTCCCTGTCCTGGATTTCCTCTTCCTCTCCTGTAA